GTTGTTGGTTTTCGTGGGCTTGTACCTGATTTAGGTACCATTGTAAAGCCGCATCCTTGAGTCCTGTAATTACATATTGCAACCGTTCCATGTCTTCGACTTTTCTTGCCTTGAAAAGGAGGTCAACTTGGAGCAACCATGTAAGGACGTTTTCACCGTCTTTACCGCTAAAAATTGGTAATTGGACAGTCAAGCCTTTTGAACTGTCGTTTCCTATTCCAGGGATTCGATATTCAGCACCGGCTTGTCTTTCTTGTTGTTGTTGTGCGGTGGCTGCAAAGTATTGATTCAATTGGTGTTGACTTTGCAAGAACTGCTGAAAGAGTGTTGTGAAATCGGGAGGTGTTTCCTCCGTTCCTAAGTCGTCATCACCTGCCATGATTTACTTTTTGCTTATAAAATAGTATTGTTTGAAGAAATCTCTAATCGGTCTTGAGAGCTTGTCTTATTCAGAGAAGTATAAATTTCAACTTCGCTTTTTTCGTTTTTTTTTTTTTTTTTTTTTTTTTTTTTTTTTTACTAGTATCAAAGTCTTCTACCAAGCGACTATTTGTAATTTCTTTCGTTAGGACTTTCTTGAATTAATACAGGAGTCTTTAAACAGGCGTTTGGGTGGAAATCTTTTCCGCTACTACCAAGTGTAACCAAACCTATTGATCGTAGACGTGGGTTAACCAGAACGGCAGTTTGATCATTTGTGTGTATAAAGAATGTATCTCTATATATTTATGCGAACGTAATGTTTATTTATTTATTATTAAGGAAAAGCGTGCCTTTCTCTTACCGAATTTCTATTCCTTTATATTCGGTTTTATCCCTATTACTAATACGATTATTATTACTAATGCTAAATTAACTATGACTACATTTATTATGCATTCGCTACTAATTACTATCATAGACTTTCATATTACACATTTATCATGCGTATCACTATACTCGATTACCCTTCCCGATTCGAATGCGACTCCGACCCATCGAACCCAGCCACGTGACGACATTCACAGCACAGATCATAAGGTTTATAATCCCCACTTTCTATTCGCTCGTTCATCAGGTCACGTTCCACATGACCCGTACCACCCCGACTGATGTAATCTACATCTAAACCCTTACACTTTTGATGAATTTGTAAACTCAACACTTATCTATATCAAATAATACAAGCTATATGTCTTTTTTTGGCAAATTAAAACAATTATAAGGCCAGTTAATTGTTAGAACCATTCTGTAGCAACAGCAATTAAAACTATTTGAAAACATTATTGATGTTAAAAAAAAAAAAACTCTTTCCGTAGATCCTTAGTACAAAAAATTTTCCAAAAACCATCTAACAAAAAGTTCATTTTTACAATATTTTACTAAGATAACTTAATTCTTTGCTCTAACAAAACTTGCTCTTCATTTAAATTTACATACAATATAAAAATTTTAAAAGAAACGAACCCAAACTCTTAAAGTTACGGCCTTTTAGGCCAAATAGTCTTCTTTTGACG